TGCTGGGAGGCAGTTGGCCCAGCAAGACCCCCACCCCTGAGTGCTGAGCTTCCTCTCCCCCTTCTTCCCCTCAATTCCCCCTTCCAGCTCCCTCCTCCAAGTTTGCCCCTCCCATCTCCCACCACCCATCCCGGTCTTCCCAGTGGTTCATCCCCCCCCAGTTTTGTACAATAAACCCAGTTCATATTTCTGAACATACATGTCTTTTATTTGACATCAAGAAGGGGGGGTTAGAGAGGGGTCAGTGGGAGGACGTGAGGGAGGAATGGGGTACAAGCCCCCGGGGGGGAGGACTGGGGAGGCTCTTAGTGCTCCTTGGGGTGGACGGTCTCCCACAGGGCGTCCTGGATCCTGACAGCCCCCACTGGACCCCCCAGATGGCAGCCTACAGCAAGTGCAGCCAGGCTGATGGCAACGACCGCACGGGACGCACTGGCATGACTAGGGGCAGCTCTGGCTCCATGTGACCGAGTGCTTTGCTGTCTCTCATCAAGGCAGCAGGGAACCCTGAGAACTGTCTGTCCAGGGTGGGGGTAGGGTCCCTTTAAGCAGGGAGCTCAGTTAGCTTCAGGCAGCAGCCCCACACGCTAAGTCCTAACCTGATGCCCTGCCAGCACTGGTTCCGGCCAGCTTTATCTTCGGTTCAGGGTCCACTCAGTATGAACATGCTATTTTGAAATAGCAAAATGCTTTCTTTGTATAGATGCATTATTTCAAATTAGCTTATTTCGAATTAACTATTTCGAAATAAAATAATTTGAAATAGCGCTATAGCATAGACATACCCTCACAGAAGCATGCATCTGACGAAGTGGGTCTTTGCCAACGAAAGCTTATGCTCCAATACATCTGTTAGTCTATAAGTTGCAACAGGACTCCTTGTCGCTTTTGCAGATCTAGACTAACACGGCTACCCCTCTGATACTCAGTTTCTACAAGTGTCAACAACTTTAGTGTGGAAAGGATGTATACCACGGCGAGTTATAACAGGGACGTCCTGTATAAATTTGATTCTCAAAGCCATCCTATTAATCAGACTTGTTTTCACAGGTATTTCTTCTCTAATAGCGTGAGATGGGGCTCGGGGAGAAAGAGAGATTAGAAATTGTTAGGAACTTTTATATTAAATTGCTGGATTATAGAGGATAAACTTAAAAAAACCCAGATAGTCTGGTAGCACTTTAAAGACTAACAAAACATGTGCAAGTTTCTTTGTGAAGTTGATGAATGTCTACTCCGTATGGCTGACTGTAGTGCCTTGCATGTTCAGAAGCTTCAGGGGGTAGCAAAATTAGTCTGTACAGGATAAACTTAAAAAAAAACAACAAATAGTCTGGTAGCACTTTAAAGACTAACAAAACATGTGCAAGTTTCTTTGTGAAGTTGATGAATGTCTACTCCGTATGGCTGACTGTAGTGCCTTGCATGTTCAGAAGGTTATAGAGTTATTCCAATTCCTTTTACTTGATGTGATCACCTTCTGGAATTGGAATCTGAAAATCTTTTAAATCCCATGTCAGAACTGTTGGTTCTCTTGATGTCAGAGGCCTTAATAATAAAATACTATGGTGCACTTTTATAGCACATTTCTCTTCAAGGCAGATAAAGAATATTTAGGAATTAAACAGCCATGACGAATGCAGTCACTCCAGGGAGAAAGTTGGTGTCTGTTTAATAGTCCACAACAATGCACAACATCTTAGAGCTGAAACTACAGAGACAACTGGGTAAATACAATGTAAACTTGAGTTGGAATTTGGCCAGTAAACAGGATCCATACACTTATGAAAAGTGCATTGATATCTTACTACCAGTAGTGGTCAATATTTCTTTTTTAAAATTATGTCTGATAATGGCAGCTTCAGTACAAGATCCTTAACATTATTTTGGACACTTATATAATACTGACAAAGGCCTTGCCTATATTCAAAACATAATGAAAGATTGATTTTTAAACTGATATAGTGAAACTGATGCCAAACTCCAAGTGGAAATTCTTTGCTTAATTTAAACCTAGTTATTTTGATTTATCTCAACTCATTTCAATATTGACTTAAGCTGCATCGATATAAATTTGGTTTAAATTGAATTGAGTGTCCACGCTGGGTTTTTTTGTTTGTTTACCTAAACTGGTTTATAAACAAGTTTAAATTTAAACTGGGGTAACTCTGAATATGGACAAGGCCTTAGCAGGAAAAATGCAATTGACACAATTAACAACACCATTTTTTTTTGAAATATTTGGTTCTTCCCCCACTCTTCAACTGATGCAGCCCAACACTGCTTCATTTGAGGCAATGATGGGCAACCAAGACTAGTGAGTAGGCCATTTGAGTGGCCCTCCTGTGTCTCAGTGGGCATGATTGCCAGTGATGGGCAACCTGCAGCCTGTGGCCCATTGGGTTTCCACCTGCAGCCCACGAATCCCCTCTCTGCCCCTTCCCCCATCTTTTGCACACTGGGGCACTGGAGTCCCGCATGTCCTACTCCTACTTCCTCTCCCTCCCAACATTTTCAGACACCATGAATCCACTGATTTCTGCTCCTTCCCTGATCCTTCCGCTTCCTCCCAGAGCTTGAACAGCTATGAACAGCTGATTCACTTTACTTGTTTGTAAATAAAGTAGAATACTAATTTATGTCCAACTCAAAAGATTCCCATGTTTTCTTTATTTATCCCAGGGCTGGGGAAACTTTTTTGGGTCGGGGACCTCTGACACATAGAAAAATCAGTTCGGGACTACACAAGTAAGAAGCAAAAACCCCCACTCAAGGCTATTTCAAAACAAGTTATTTTGAAATAGTAACTCCCAAAATAACACTTTCAAAATAGTGGGTACACACTACAGAGAAGTTAGTCTGAGGCAGTCTCCCTTAATGTGGATGCACTACCTCGACTTAGAGCCCCAGGAAGCACTGGGATTAATTACTCTGAATGACTCTGGGGAGTAGTTATTTTGAAATAACAGTAGCTGAACATCCACGCTAACCCTCTTTTGAAATAGCAATTTTGAAATAGGTGTTCCTCATAAACTTAGGGGTTATTTTTTTGAAATAGCAAGCCTGTTATTTTTAAATAATTTCCAAATAATGGGCTTGCTGTGTGGACGCTCACCTTCTTATTTTGAAATAATGGGAGTTATTTTGAAATAACTCTGTAGTGTAGACGTGCCCCAACTGAGAGATGCCACTCCTCTGGCTCTCCAGCCCCACCTGGGGGAGGGACAGGAACATGGAGGACTGAGTTTCAGGGCTTCCATAGACCAGATTTACTCCTCTGGGGCTCCGGAGTTAGTGGATTTTGTGGACCCCCCCAGGCTCTGGGGTTGGAACAAAAATGGGAGATTTAGTGTGCAGGACAGGGCTTCCAGCGAGAAGGAAGGTGCAGTGTGTGGCCAAGAAGGAGGGTGCAGGAGCAAGGGAAGGTGCAAGAGCAGGAAGTAGGGTGTCTGGCTGGACGGGAGGTAGGAGCAGCCTGGGGGTAGGAAAAACTAAGCACCTCTCTTGCGCAAAGGCACATGCCAGTGTAGATGCTCTCTTGTGCAAATACTCTTGCGTTGAAGAGTATTTGCGAAGATCATACCGACGTAGACATAGCCTGAGTGCTGAGCACCCGTGAATTTTTCCCTCTAGCCCTGGAGCACCCACAAAGTTGGTGCCTATGGTAGCAGGGGTTAGATCATTGATAGGCAACTTTAGATTAATGAGTGGGCCACATGAGTAGCCCTCCTTCATCTCAGTGGATCATAAGATTGTTGTAACCAAGACAGTCTCCCAGGTTAGGGTAGATTTGCTAACTGTACTTGTAGAACTAGAATTTGCAGGGTGTGCTGACTGAACCATAGCAGAGCTTTGAATGGATGTGGACAGGAGCAGATGACCATTTTGTGGGGTCCAGAGCAGCACAATTTCGCAGGGCCCCCCTTTGCCACAGCACATACGTGGGGCTTCTTGAAGCGTGGGGCCGGGGGGGAGGGGGCGCTCGCCCTGCCCTGTTTCCGCCCCCAGATGTGGAGATTATGGCTCTCAATTGGGTAAAATCCGCTCTTCATGTGTCCTTGCTTTATGTGCATGTCACTTTAGTCATCTAGTAGGAAAAAGCTGTGCAAACGAATGGAATCTGACAAGCCTGCATGTGGGCAATGACAAACAGAACATCTGGCAGGCCTCATGGGCCACGTGTGTGTGTGTGTGTGGAGGGGGGGGGGCACAAGTTGCCCACCAGTGGTGAGGGGTAAAATCCGCTCTTCATGTGTCCTTGCTTTATGTGCATGTCACTTTAGTCATCTAGTAGGAAAAAGCTGTGCAAACGAATGGAATCTGACAAGCCTGCATGTGGGCAATGACAAACAGAACATCTGGCAGGCCTCATGGGCCACGTGTGTGTGTGTGTGTGGAGGGGGGGGGGCACAAGTTGCCCACCAGTGGTGAGAGTGTTTACAGTCAGGGGTGTGGAGTCAGACCCTGCCCTGTGTGCTGCCCGCACAGCAGCGGGGGAAGCTGTATAGAGGGGAGCCAGGCCTGCTCTCTCCCCAGACTGACCGGCTCTCCCCGCCTCTCTCACGCTGCGCGTCTCAGCGCCCAAGCGCCGCCCCACCTCAAGCCAATACTCCCGTCCTGCCGCCTACGCGAGTCACAATCAGCAGTGCGCATGCAAAGTGCAGGCTGGGAGTTGTAGTCCACCGCCGCCTCCTGGCCGCGGTAGACTGCATTTCCCAGCGTGCCATGCACGCGCATGCGCCTTTGCTTGTCCTGTCGCTGAGTGCCGGGCTGACCGGCCTGTAAGTGTCAGGGGTCGTCCCGTCCTGCCGCCTACGCGAGTCACAATCAGCAGTGCGCATGCAAAGTGCAGGCTGGGAGTTGTAGTCCACCGCCGCCTCCTGGCCGCGGTAGACTGCATTTCCCAGCGTGCCATGCACGCGCATGCGCCTTTGCTTGTCCTGTCGCTGAGTGCCGGGCTGACCGGCCTGTAAGTGTCAGGGGTCGCTGCTGCCCCCCCAGCCTCCACTCCCTGGACCATCTCAAGTAAGTGCGTGTGGGGGGCGGCTTCGGGAGGAGCGTGTGTGTGTGTGTGTGTGTCAGCGTGGGGCGAGGAGTGTGTGTGTGTGTGTGTCAGCGTGGGGCGAGGAGTGTGTGTGTGTGTGTATGTCAGCGTGGGGCGAGGAGTGTGTGTGTGTGTCTATAGGGAGCTCCGTAGGGGCAGGGGCGTGAGGAGTGTATGTATAAACAGCCGGAAGGGGGGGAGGGAAAGGTGGAGGTGTGTGTGTGTTTTGGGGGGCAGCCCCATTCGGGGGATGATGGTTAAGGAGGAAGTGTGTGTGTGTTTAGGGGACCTGAAGAATTTGTGTAGGGGGGAGCCCCATGGGGGTGGTTGAGGCGAAGTGTGTGTAAGAAGTTCTGTGAGTGAGCCTCAGAAGGAGCATTTATATGTGTAGGGTGCCGAGGTGGGTGTGGGAGTGGAGGGGTCAGGTAGGTACTCAGGGAGGGGGGTAGGTTGGAGACTATGTGGGAACAACAGGGGATTTGGGGGGCTTGTGATGTGGCTGAGTGAGCTTGTGTTGAAGGGGGGGTGGCATTGTCTGCTTTTGGAGCATGAGAGCAAGAGAGCAAGTGCAGGGCTTCTCTGAGGTAGAAGGGACATGTGGGACTCTAAGCCCTGACAAGGCCTTCAGGGATTTGAGAGTGTCTTGTAGCTGCGGAAGACTGACTATTGGAGGAGTTTCACCCAGGGTTGCTATTGTAACCATGTAAGACAACAGGAAACATCGTTGGTACATCTATGAATATTCATGTAACTATATTGATTACAGTTTTCCTGATGTGAAGCTCTTAAAGAATTTCACAAGTACTGGTTAGGTCAGATAAACTGTTTCCTTTCTTCCTCCCTCCACTGCTCTGTTTTGCCTTGCTGGTGATTGGATGTTCCTAAGTATCTGCAGGGTCATAACATAGCATGGAAACTCAAAACTATGATTTTATAATGCTGAACAAAGTCTAAAAGATGGTAACCCTAGACTAGTGCCAGCACTCTAGAGATAGGGGAGATATAGTTAACTGGGGGATGGAAGTCGTGAGAGAGTAGTCCAAAGTTACACTACAAGCAATACAGAGGGTTTGAAAATATCATCTACTAGCCAGAGAACAGAAACTCCTGGTGGGGAAACAGGAAGAGGGAAGAAGATCTTGCACAGTCAACAGGTCTCATTTCCCATTACCAGGTGCTAATAGAGAGAGATAAGGTACTGGAAATCTTACATGGGAATTCTTTTTTAGGTATTAGTCATTGGACAGGGAGTGTCTAACGAACAGGGACGGCCCTAGACTAGGTGCCAACAACTGGCGCCCTACGTGAACCATGCAATCGGTGCCCCCACCTCCAAACCCCTCAATGACATTGCGCCACCATTTGGTGCCCCATTTAACTTGGTGCCCTAGGTGACCGCCTAGTTCACCTATATGGACCTAGTTCACCTGCTAACGAACATGAAGCCTTTTGCACTTTTACTGGCTGCTGGGAGGGAGAATATCCCCACCATATCTTGGGGAGGAGAGGAAATAAGAGCAGGTGTAACCGGGTGGTGGGTGGCTGCCCCATGTGCCAGGGCTGGAGCCAGGGCTGCAGTGCGGCTGCTCCTGGGGACAGGGCCACAGTGATATTTTTAGTACTGTGAGGCTGCAGCTGCTCCTGGGGTGGGTCCGTGTGGTATGAGGCTGCTTTGTGCACTGGGACTCGAGCCAGAGCCGCGGTGCTGTTTTTAATACTGCAGCCCCAGCCCAGGAGCAGCTGTACTGCAGCCCTGGTTTCAACCCTGGGAAAGGGCTGAAGTTGGAGCCAGGGCTCCATGGTAGCTGCCTGGCCCTGGAGCAGCTGAGCTGCCACTGCGTGGCTCTGCTGAGGGTGTGGGCGGGATTCAAATGTTTTGTGCATGCCCGGTTTTCTCCCTGGCCCATAAGAAGGGGCCAGTCCCGGCTTTCCTCTCAGCCCACTGGGAGGAGCAGGCCCCACCCAACCACTGGGAAGGAAGGGGAAGGCTGGGGCTGTAGGCAGCCCAAGCCCTCTATGTTGGCCCCCGGGAAGAGTCAGGTTGGCAATGGGTGGGGCTTGTTCCTGTGAAACGCAGAGTGACGTGATGACATCACTGTCGTCACAGAGGAAAAAGTTTTTTATATAGAGAGAAAGATAATTACCTCTATTGCAGAACAAGACAAAACTCCCTCTGCTTATGGATGGAAAATCTTAGGGTACGTCTAGACTACATGCCTCTGTCGCCAGAGGCATGTAGATTAGGCTACCAGACATAGGAAAATGAAGCGGCGATTTAAATAATCGCCGCTTCATTTAAATTTACATGGCTGCCGCGCTGAGTCGACAAACAGCTGATCAGCTGTTTGTCG